AAGGTATGGTTGGATGGCAGAGGGGCAAGGAGCAACGCTAGAAAGATTCGGTTGAGGGTGGGAATTAGTTGGAAGGCCCCATGTGCCCTCCTAGAGTTTAGGCTTGATCCTGTAGGCAAAGGACAGTCACCAAGCAGAGGAAGCTGAGAGCAGAATGTGGTACTTGTGAGCTACATCAAAATGCTGACTTCTCAATAGAGTTATGTTATCACATCACTTATTCAACTTAAAATCGGAGTGACTGTTGCATGCAAGAAATGACAACAGAGTGAGTTTTTACATCGTTCTCTGCTGTGCAGACTTCCTGCCAATATCACCTTCATCACCCGCACATATGGATGTCTAACAGTAAAAATGGTTTTTTGCATGAATCTTACTTAAAATTGTTCTGAGTATTTGGTTTTGAAGGCTTCTAGAAAACTCGTGCTTTTTGTCCGTTACTGCTCTGCAGGATTGGTGAGGCCAGTGTACTGCTTTCTCTGGGGCTACCAAGGCAGCGAGGATAAAAATAGGACAAACTTTAAGAATCCCAGATATTTTCAGATAACAAAGACTGATTTATGCAGGCCTGCTTCGTGCTCTGACCAAACATAGAGAAGCTTTTGTGCTGTGATTAGCAAGGGTGCTGATGTCAGTTCTCTTGTCAAGCATCAAGCTTTATTCTGTAGCTAAATTGTGCTTTGTACCATAATCCAGAGAACCTTTGTATCTGCCTTATTTAAGTGTGTAGTTTATGTAATTGCTTTTGTTTTCCAGTTTCATCGGTGCCAGATTCAATGAGAATGACTCATTTTGCGACCGAGACAAACATTCACATTTGGACCATGTTAAAAATAAATAAATAAGTGGCAGGTGCTGCTTGGTGAAAATTCTGTGTTTTAGTGCAGTCATTTCCTGCTGGAAGGGTTCACGTCTCGAATTATGTCTCAGCCTCTGCAGTCGCTAGCCCAATATCTCTTATTCCTCAATTTATGGCTATTCATTTCTTGGCTCTTTTAGTTTCTAAAGGCTTTGTTGAATTTGAACAATGGGATTTCAACAGGAAAGCAAAGGAATAGATAAGAGAAACCTAAAGAACACACACACACCTTCTTTTGTTTCTCTGAGGTGATTATGGATGTGCTTTGGTGCAGTTAGGTATCATGTCAAGCTCTAGAACTCTTTTCTCCAGTGGAAGGGGTTTTGAAAGCAGTCCTTTCTTTTTATCGTGACCTGTACACCAAATTTAATATTCTCAAAAGTTTTACAACTTTATTTTCTTAGGGGAATTCTACTTGTTTATTGTACAAATATTTCTGAGTTCCAGGCACTGGGCCATGTGTGGGGTATGTAATGGCGTATCAAGCAGACATGGTCACATTATCTTCTTGAACCTTTCAACCTGGCTAGGGGGTTAGATGCTAAATAAATAAATACAAAGAAAAACTGAATTGCAGGCATTTATAAATCACAACAGAGGCAAGTAATAGGGTCCCCAAAATTATACCCTGCTTTACCTTGGGGTTGGTTGGGTTGAGGGTGGTTGGGGAAGGAAAGGCTGAAGATAGGAATTGATCATCCAAAGACCAAGGGAGAGAACAAATACTGGATTTAGAAAACAGCATGTGAAAAGTCCCTGAGCAGAAAGGAGTTTGGCCTCCTGTAAACCACATTATCAAAAAAGAGAAGTGGCAATTAAGAGAGAAAAGATAGAAAAACTGCATTTAAAAGATTATGAATGAACTATAGAGGCACAGCTGTATGGCATTACTTAGAGGCCCAGAAGCCTTTGAGATCCACATAAAATGCAGTATAGAAACTGATGCCTGTACTACTTAGCCTGAGTCATCAGGGAATGGAGGAATTATGGGCAATAAATTATGTAGTAAGGCATTTTAAAAAGATTTCCTTACAAGACATTAAAGTTTTAAAAAGTCAATTCTGTATTTAAAGACAGAAACTCCACTATCTAGAAAAATCACTAACCCAAAGATAGGATTCCTTGATGGACCTGGATAAATAATCTTTTTTTTCTTATCCCTTTATTTGTCCATTAATCTCTCAAGCTTACTGCTTGAGAGGTGTGTTAATCAGCCCTTACTGCTGGGTGTGGTAGTGCATGTAATCTCAGCGACTCAGGAGGCCGAGGCAGGAGGAATCAACCTAGTGAGATCCTGTCTTAAAATAAAAAGGGGTGAGGATGTGGCTCCATGGTTAAACATCTTTGGGTTCACTTCCTGGTACAAAAAAAAAAAAATCAGCTGATACTGTGACAACACATCTGAGAAAAACAAGGAGGAAAGATCTATTTTGGCTCACGGTTTCAGAGGTTCAGTCCATGACCAGCGGGCTCCATTGTTTCTGGGCCTGTGATGAGGCCATACTTCGTGGTGGAAGGGTGTGGCAGAGCAAAGCAGCTTACCTCCTGGTGGCTGGGAACGAGAGAGAGAGAGAGAGAGAGAGAGAGAGAGAGAGAGAGAGAGAGAGAGAGAGAGAGAGAGAGACCCCCACCCTTCCAGGGCATGCCACAAGTGACCTACTCCCTCCAACTAGACCCCACCTCCTGCGGTTTCCACCACCTCCCAATGGTCCATTCATTTATGAAGCCATCAATGGATTAATCCATGATGAGCTGAGAGCCGTTGGTCCGATCACTTTCCCAAAGCCCCACCTCTGAACATTGTGCACTGCGGACCCAGCCTCGAACACAGGAGCCTTTGGGAGACCTTCCAGATCTAAACCGTAACAATAGGGAAGTATCTGTAGAGAACCAACTCACAGATGGTTTCTATTTATTTTTAAATAAATAGGAGTATATCAAATGAGTGGATTTTTATAACCCAGTACCAGATTTGTGTGAATCTAACATGTTGTGACTTTTCAATATCATCTAAAACATCTATAGAACTCTATTGTCTTTCTCCTTCTGATACCAATTCTGTACTTTTTCATTTGAACTGCAATAAGAATTTAACTTAAAATATCGATGTTTTAACATTCTGTGGCCTTGATGATTTTTTTTTTTTTTTAGTAAATTTCTTGTTAAAGGATTGCAAGTTTTTCTGTAAAGGAGTGCTTATCCACTAAGCAATATTTCTGTAGCTACTTTGCCAGGGTTGCTGTGTTCCAAAGTATTTATTTTCATTTATGTTAAATATTTTCTCCACAATTTTTTTTGTTATTTTACACAAGGCATTTATTTGTTTGTTTATGTATTTATTTATGGCTTACTTTTATTTTTTAAAAATTTTTTTCTCCACAATTAGAAAACACCTCGAGGGTAGGAATCATGAATTTCAAACTTGTCTCTCTTCCCACAAGTACCTTATACAGTATCTTCAGAAAATTCAATTACTTGTTGAGTAATTCATTGATTTTCTTTAATGGATATAATTTAAAGAATCTCTTAAAACATTAAGCCTAAAGTTATCACCCACATTATTTTGGTTGTCAGTTGTCCACATTACTAGAAGGCTGTATGGCTGGTTTGTGGATTGCTCAGGGTCCCTTCCTCCTCATTTTCTGTCTCTGCCTCAGATCTTTGCCAGAGCTTCCTAGCCCCTCCATTAGGGAACCACAACTCAAAATCAGTTCATATCAGAAGTTTATTATACAATTTAGTGAAGATGGAGGCAGAGACGAAACAACTGCCTGAGAAGTGTGTGTAGATTTTAGTTATCGATCCTCTTTTTTTCCCCTTTCACATTTTTTTTCAGAATACAGTGAAGCCATTTTTGAAACTGTCACTACAATACCTTTGTGTTCTATTTGCCAGATTTTATGAAACAAAAAACACTCTATCATGTCATACTCATGGCTTTCTCTATTGCCTTGGATGATTTTAAACTTGGTCAATATTTTCTTATAAATAGATATATATGTTAATGAAGACAGAAATACTGTTTGGGGGGAAATTGGCCTATGTTAACAGCCCCAGCAGGAGCTGTCTTGGTCTGATTAGACTGTAGAGCATGGAACTCGTGTACCGTGATGAGTAAAATTTCTAAAATTCCTGTAGGCACAGGGCTGTCATCATACCAGTTGTTTCACTGGAAAAGAGACTTTCTCTTGCTGGTCCTAATTTTCCAAGACTAAAGGATTGTGACATTGTAACTGGTGCTCAGAGTCTGTGGGTGAGTAGGAGGAACAGTGAGGATGCCTTCAGTGGGGTTCATAAAATGTCACGGTTCTCTGCCCTTGCACTTCCTGGAATGTCCTCTTTGGGCAGTCTAACCTCGAATGTTCCGTCAATAAGAGTACAGAGTGTCTATTAGTAGGTGATTGAGACTTATGAGCCTGAGAGGAGACAATCTGGGTTTTGTTTCTAGGCACAGATGTTAGGGTTAAGGACTGATAAAGAAGACTCCATCATTGGATTCTGCTTTTATTATTTGATGAAGCACCTTCATGTGTGTATTTTATAGCACGATATTAAGGCATGGAAAATCATTGCTTTTAAAAAAATGTGGTAAAATATATACAACATACAATTTACCATTCTATTTTTTAAGAATACGGTTATTAAGAACATTCACATTATTGTACATCCATGACCACTATCCATCTCCAGAATTTCTTCTTCTTTCCCACCTGAAACTCCTCATTCTCCCTTCCTGCTGTGAATGTGACTACTCTAAATACCTCACATAAGTGGAATCGTACTGTAGTTGTCCCTTGGTGAATGGCTTATTTCATTGAGTATCATGTCCATATTCACTTTTCCCAGCATCATTTATTGAAAGCATTACTTTTTTATATGTAGTAAAAAACTAAACCTTCATTGGTTTGTTGACTTGATGTATCATAGGGTAGTTAATAGAAGATACAAGTATATATATCAAAAAGTTCTTATGAGAGATCAATAAGCTTTGGTGTTCAGAGTGGAAGATCATCCTATGATAACTGAAAACCATTGTGACTTTTCTAGATGGTGCATTTATAATACTGGCTTGATAAATGTGTAGCTTCTGGAAATTTTTCTCTGCAATTAATACTAAGTGGTGATTTTGTTTTTTTCCTAGGCATGGAAGAGGAGGTGGTTTGTGTTACGCAGTGGCCGTTTGACTGGAGATCCAGATGTCCTGGAGTATTACAAAAATGATCATGCCAAGAAGCCCATCCGTATCATCGATTTAAATTTATGTCAGCAAGTCGATGCTGGATTGACATTTAACAAAAAGGAATTTGAAAACAGCTTCATTTTTGATATCAACACCATTGACCGGATTTTCTACTTGGTAGCAGACAGTGAGGAGGAGATGAATAAGTGGGTCCGCTGTATTTGTGATATCTGTGGGTTTAATCCTACAGAAGAAGGTAAGTTCAAGATTTTATTACCCGACTTCAGTTCTCTTTTTTTTGCTATGTATTTAGAGGTGCCATAAAACTCCTTGTTAAATTCAGTTATACACTGTTTTGTTTTGCAATAGGAACCTGACATTTGGGGAAATCATGGGACTCTTCCTTAATCAGTGTGGACAGAAACTTTTTTTCCCACAGGTTTGAGAGAGAGAGAGACTTAACAACCATTGCAGGGCAGTGTGTAAGTAATTGTCCTGAGGAAGAAGGGGTCAGGAGGACATTCTTAAGTACATTTATTGAGTTTTGACATTAGTATTTTAATAGTGTTGATATATGACTGTTTTTACCGATTAAAATGTCAAAAATTTTATGCTTCATCCCAGTTCTTTAGGCATTATTTTAAAAACCACATTAGGTTTTAAAGTTATGAAGTAGCCGAGGTGATTATCAATACCTAGGAAAAGCAAATGAGAATCAAGCACAAAACACAATGAAAAAGAGCACAGAGAAGGAAGAGGGGGCTCAAGGTATGGATAAGCAGGAGTAGAGGACAGTTTCCCAGGAGAGGAGTTGCGGGTTGCAGGCTTGGAAAGAAGTAATGTTTCCATGTGGGTGGAAACAGCCCTCCAGGTTTAGGCACCTGGGAAGGAAAGAACTCCGAGGTGAAATAGGTTCATACTGCGCAGAAGGGCCATGGGTAAAAGAGGCAAAGGGACAGCTGCTTTCAGATCTTGACTTTCCTGGAAAGAGCTCAGCTGAGTGGGTGGGGGTCTCAGGTGGAAGTCTTGTTCAGGTACTCTCAGAGCTGTTTGACCACTGAGTCCCTGTCTGCTTCTCTTCCTTTTCAAACATGCACTCAGAACCTGTGTAGGGGACTTCGATATAGATTTAGTTTTATAGAGCCAAGAATCAGAAATGAAGGTGTACCGAGGTCTTCAACCTTAGTGTCTTCAACTTGTCCCCTGTATCCCTGGGGGATGCGGTCCAAGATTCCCTAGTAGGTGCCTGAAGCACCTGTTCAGGATACTACTGAGGATACCATGAAGTATCATTGTGATGGATCTTCTGTTTAAATCATGTGTCATCTTATAATCGTTTTGTGGTTACTGTTGTTCCATTTCCCTGCTGACTTTTCAATTTGGAATTTGTTTGGGGGACCTAAGAGCAGAATTCCATCTCCATTGCTGCCTGCATAGATTGAGCTGATCTGCAAGGCTGAGTAGAAGTGTTCTTTCATATTTCTTGGTTCTTTTTATAATCCTCTGAAATATTTTAATAAAGGAAATGAGATGCTGTATTAGAAGATGTGCATTCTTCTTTCAAGGAAGGTGAATGTCTGGTTTTGGGAAGCCTATTCAGTATTGGGTAAAGTTGAGAACTCCCAAAATAAGAATTTCTAAATGTTTGTTTATGAGATTAATTTTGCAAGTTTTAAGGCACAGAGTCTCTGGTTTGTTTGACCAACTTAAAATATTTCTTACCATCCAGGAGATAAATGAACAAGCAATCAGATCTGGGAAGAACAAAAGCTTGGTATACTTTAGAAAATGGATTCATTAGTTCACCAAAATTATTTGGGTTTGCTAACACTCCATTAGGTTGCAGGTGCTCGTTCAACACACACATATTAGGTGACTAGTTAGGGAGACAGATGGTAAACCTCACTGACATGGAACTGAATATCTAGTGGGAAATTATTCCTTATAAAAAATGTCCAAAATAATGCATTACATTTGTTGATGGGTGCAAGTTCATGTGTGTATACTACACGATCTAGTAGATGATCCAGAATTATAATACCTAGTGATAAGTGCCGTGCACTTAGATAAACATAGATGGCAGCAGCTCCTAATTTAGTCCTGAGGGTCAAGAGAAGCTGAGGTAGTTTTAAACTGCTCTGTGACTGTCACCAATCATGTTCTGAGAACTCTGGTTTTGTACTTAGCGAAACATTTCATTGATTTTAGAAGTCAGAATCACTCAGTCACAATGTCTGTTTTCACTTTAAAAATGTTCTACCAGTATAAGGAGGAGTGAAGTTTTAAAACTTAAAAGCTTCAGTGACCTTTTTGGTGGCAAACTCACTAGTCCTTACAAAGCACATTAGAAGTATATTTGGGTTGAATGAAATTCTTAACTTTTGAACCTCTTATCAAAGCAATATACATAAAGGGTGAGCAATGAAGTATCAATCAGGTTTGATATGTATGGTTTGTGACTTGGTTACCAAAGGCAGCTGTGCTAATCACATATCATTTTTATCTGCTCCTTAAAACAAGCCCCAGGGACTTTTAATTTGCTAATACTTTCTATAGTTAGTTCAGAGCTATATTTATATACAACGGCACTTATGTTTTAGGTTCTATTATTTAGATTTTTTACAGCTTCTTCCTGGACATCTGCCCCCAAATAACCTAATTAGAGCTGTTTGTAATATAGTTAAGTATATATTGAGGTTATAGGAAAAACTTGTATAAAGTGAACTGTTCATCATTATGTAGTATCATAATGAAGTGTACTTCATTGTACTCTACAGTTTAGGTTTTTAATGTATAGTGGCAAAAATGCTATAAAACTAACTACTATACTTCCTTATGCATTTGTAGTGTAGACTAAATACGTTTTGAAAAAAAAATAGCCTAGCATGAGGAAAGCTTTGAGTTCAATCCCTGACACTACATACACACACAGTAAATGAATAAAATAACATCTAAAGATTTGTCTGAAATGCTAACAGCAGCAAATTGCTATAATACTTTGTAATTGTATTCATATAGTTTAATATAAGGTAAGAATCAAAATAGCTTTGTTCTTCCATTAACCTTATTGCCTGGTTTATATTCCCTTTTTTCCAACTAGACCTCTCTGCCCATCACGAACAGTATTTTTGTTTTTACCTAGATCTGTCCCCTGTGCCCTGTGCTCTTCCCGTTTTGGAAGGCTGAATATGCTCCCATTTTGAGCTCAAAAAGTGGTCAATAACATGAGATGATTTTCTTCACTGTGCTAGTTTCAGACCAGATGTTGGAAAAAGTAGACTGTGCTTGGATATCAGTCTGAGAAAATAACTATCCACAATCCCTGTGAGAATAACTAGTTTTTCCCTGAAAACAAAAGGAAAGGGGAAAAATCCGACCTGTGTTTTGATTCCAGGAACCTCTCAAAATATCGTTACCATGTTATTTCCGCTGCCCCAGGTGACCACTGCTATTATTGAATACTCAAAGTGCTGGCAGGCTGTATCTGTTTTTAAATTCTAGCTCATTGAACTGTGTGTGGTTCCTATGAATGCTTTTCTTCAGTAGATTTGAGGGTAGAAACTAATTTCTTTTGTTTTTCTTGGAAATGTGCAAATTTATTTTTATTTCCACACCACCAAGGTGGAAGCTGTTAAATCTGCTAAACAAGTCCTGGGAAGCACAGCCCAAGGGCCATAGGAAGCTCACTCAGTTCTCTAAAGGCCTCTGGGCTAATTTTAGGATGCAAGATTAGAAAGTTGCCTCTGAGTTTTTTTTCTTTATTATTATTTTTTTAAAATGCCCAGATTATAGTGGCTTAATTAAAAAAATAAAAAGTGTGATTCTCTGTTTTGATATGCTTCCTGATAGACAAGCATTTACGATTATATATACACTTCCTTTCTTAGAAGCAGTCTTTCTCAACTGAGGACTTTTAAATTTCTTTTCCTTTACTTTTTTATTGAGATTTAAATTGCCACTATAATCAGTATAGATCTTAAATGTACTGTTCAAAATAGCTTTATATATCTATGTCTATACATAGAGACGTCTGTATAGCTGCTCAGTATTAAGAAATAGAACATTTGCACTCCCCTGAAATTCTCCTTTCTGCCTCTTCCAAGCAGAGCCCCCACCCAAATGTATTTTTATTTTCCTTTTGCTTTGATTGCCGTCCATTCTTTTTTGCCTATTCTTTATTTATTTCTTCTTTTGTGTGTGTTACTGGGCATCACACCCAGGCAGGGCCTCACACATGCTCTCTGCCACCGAGCTACATCCCCAACTCTTTTTCTTATTTTTTGAGACAGGATCTCGATTTGCTCAACTTGGAACCCTCCTGCCTCAGCCTCCCAAGAGCAGGGATTACAAGTGTGCACTTGAGGCTGAGTTTTACCTTTTTTTTTTTTTTTTAATACTAGGGATTGAACTAGGGTCATTTAACTACTGAACAACATCCCCCGTCTTTTTTTTATATTTTCTTGAACTTCATGTAATGGAACTATTGAGTCAGGCTTCTGTTTTCCAGTATTAAGACCACAAGACTCATCAAGGTTATAGCATATATGCATTTCTTCATCTTTTGCAGCATTCCATTGTGTGGATACCACACTTTATGGATCTGTTTGAATGCTGAAGAACATTTGGGTTGTCTTCAGTTTTTTTTTTTTTTTTTTTTTTTTTGGGGGGGGTACTTGGAATTGAACCCAGGGGTGCCAAACCACACAGCCATATCTCCAGCCCCTTTTTAAAAATTTTTTTTTTTTGAGACAAGATTTCACTAAGACCTTAGGGCCTTACTAAGTTGCTGAGGTTGATCTTGAACTTGAGATCTTCCTGCCTCAGCCTCTCAAGTCACTGGGATTACAGGTGTGCCTCACCATGCCTGTCTTACATGTCTTTTGATAGATATCAATGTCTAGTAAGTTCTTTGGGTATATACGCATGAGTAGAAATGCTGCATCCTAGGATAGCTATAGATTTAACCTTAGCAGATTCAGTAGCTTTAATTCTCCAAAGCCATTGTACAATCGAGATTGCTTTCCTACCTGCAGAGTATGAGAATTCCAATTATTGCATATTGTTACCAACATTTGTTACAGTCAGCCTTTAATTTCAGTCATTCTAGTGGGTGTGCCATGATATCTCATGGCTTTAATTCACATTTGCTGGAGGACTAATTCAATCAAAGCTTGAATTTGTTTTTTTCTGTTTTATTACACACTTTCAAGCTACTGTCCCTGAGATCTTGGTTCACCGAGTGTCCTGTGTTGGGGCCCAGGCAACTAGATCTCTAAAATACCCCCCAGATGATTCTGATGCCATCATAACTCTAGATAAGTATCAAGGCATTTGTCAGGATTGCCTAACAATTTGAAGTCTCTAAGAATGTTTTTGCAGTCTATTGAAGAGAGTCACGACAAATAAGAACTTTTTTCTACTTGACACATTAAACATATTGTGTAATAATTTAATTCTTTAATAGTTGGATTAAATAAGCTGAAAAACTGCAGTTGGTTTCACCAACAGTTGCTACTGCTGCTGCTTCTTGTTGCTATCCATTTGTCAGATTTACCTTTATAAAATGTTCTTCCATAAAAATGGTGTATTCATTCGGGGCTGGGACTGTGGATCAGTGGTAGAGTGCTCGCCTAGCACTTGCGAGGCCCTGGGTTCAATCCTCAGTACCACATATAAATAAAGGTATTGTGTGCAACTACAACTGAAAGTAAAATAAGTATTTTTTTAAACAAATGGTATATTCAGAAGTGAGAAAATGGTTATATTAGTGTTAATGATAATGAATACTCTTTATAGACTCTTATTTGCCAAGTGAGACATAGATCTATTCGAAATTATTCTTTTTTAAGAAATATTTTTTTGTTGTTGTAGATGGACACAATGCCTTTATTTATTTATTTATTTATTTATTTATTTATTTATTTATTTATTTATTTATAATTTGGTGCTGAGGATCGAACCCAATGCCTCACACGTACTAGGCAAGTGCTCTACCACTGAGCCACAATCCCCATCCCAAAATGCTTCTTCTTAAAAGAAAAATTTTATAGCACACCAGATAAATCAGGAATCAGTAGATACAGAATAACCTTGACCTATTTACCATTAATTGCAATCATAAAAGTAAGACTTTCACAATAGAAATTAAAAAAATAGGAAAAAAAAAATTTTTGTATCAACAGACACAGCCCACCCTTAGAGGAAACACTCTCATCTGGTCTCCTGATAAGAACAGAGGAGCAGCTCCACAGTTTCATGACTGCATGCTCAGATGCAATAAGTCAGTGGTTAAAAAATTAACCTATGCCATCAACTCCGCAAAATTCTGCTTTACCAATAAAGAGAGTAGAATTATTTCCTACTTGTGTCATTTCATTTTGTTAAATGAGTAATTCTTTTGAATATCCAGAAGCATCATCTAGCCTCCCCAACTTCTTGAGGGACCCTAAAAGCAGACATGATGACTCCAAATAGGATAAAACTAAAGCAGAGGGTAGAGTGGCGTGAGCCAGTTTCTAATGTTTTGGATCTCATCAAATCATAATCTACTTCTCTCCACTGAAAATTTGTACACTGAAAGGCTTTCCTTAGCAATGTTTATTAGCTTTCTAAGTAAATTTCAATTAGGACTTCACTCCAGTAGCCTATTAGGCCTATAATAAATGTTCATTATACTCTTCAAGTCTTCCGAATTAAGAAGTAGGAGATTATTTTTCATGCTCAAGCAAACCCTAAACCAATGTTTGGTTCTTAGAAGTTTGATACTAGCCTTCCTTAGAGCAGTAATTCAGAAGTGTGAGCAAGGAGGGGAACAGAATGCCCTGTTCCATTATTTGTGGTGTAGAGATAGGTACAAGTCAACATGTTTATAAGATGAAGAGAAGTTTTTTTTGTCTTAGACCAGTCATTAAACTATAGAGAGAAATTGTCAGAGAATATTTAGACACTGTGCATTGCTTATATTAAAATTTCAGAGCTGAGCTATAGTCAAATTAACATGACTGAAAAGAACCCAGAGACCAAAATGTTGAAGATGTTGTGTTATCTGAGCCCAAGTGGCAGAGTGGTCTCTGCAGCCCTGTTAAGAGTCCTGTGTGTGCCAGTGTTGTCTGCAAGGGGAGGGGGTGGCTGTTAATGGATGTTTAAAGGTCTTTTCTTTCATGAGCTTGCTCGTGAACAACATGGGAATTTTTCTCTAGCTCTTGCCTCTTTTAATGTTCATGCAGTATATAAATGAGATACTTTTGAAAAAGGAAAATCCCAGGCCTCTTTAAAGAGGTTAAAATGCTCTGATCATTTATAGGTAGGAGATATGGAAGGTTAGAAATGAGATGGTCCCCTTGTGTTAATAAAACAAGGTCAGACTGTGGTTTCCTGGCCAGGTGGATTTTCTTTTCCCACTTAAGATGAATCACTTAATTCATTTAGGGTTTAGCCATCAAGTTTAGAAAAAGTATTAAGGGAAAAGTGTATCTATAAAAACAGTCACTAGAATTCATATGATTTTTATAGGGTGAAGGATTGTCAGTGTTTAGTTTTATTTTGTTTTGGTGAGAACTAAAAATTGAGCTAGATTACTGAATTTTACTGTGCCTCTACTATAGAGGAAAAGAGAAGCATATAAAATACACTTGTGGATACAACCCGTAGGATAATTTAACTGCCTTCTCCTTTCTTCCTTCCTAGTGTTGTATATATTTTTCTTAAGCTTGTCTTTAAAAGGTAGATATTTTTCATGGCTCTCTTAAATCCAGAGGGATTTACTCTGAGTCACTATTTAATCTTTAGCATTTTAAATCTCCTTGAATTAAATCTGTGTATTCACAACCGCATCAAAAGAGTAATACATTTCAGAAGGTATATTACATACATTGCTTTGTAATCAGCCTAGGTTGTTAGACAGGACAACAAGAGTTCGTGAGTACCCACTGAAATTATGACATCATTATGTAAGTGTCCAAAAATTTACTCTTACCGTTTCTGTTCTCATCCTCTTGAAAAAGAAAGAATTCATTAACTCCTGACACAAGGTGTTAGAGTTTGTTAGGCAAGCCTGTAGGAAGACTTGACCTTACCTGGAGCATCACAAAGATTAAAAAGTCAGAAATTAGTTCAACCTGTTTGCTCAGATCATATTCTCTAATTGAAAGAAGTTTTCAACCCTTATGAGCATCCAGAAGGGCTCACGGAGTTCTCGAGAAGCAGATCCTAAACTGTGTGTGCAGGTAGAGGAGTTGGAAGAATCTCTTGCTCTAATCTCTTCTGGTTTGACAGAGAGAAGGTGCTCAGGGAGTTTCTACCTCAGATTGAAACATTTCCGCCCCGCCCCCCCCAACATCTGTTTCTGAACCTCTGTTTGCTATTGAGTCACAACTGGGGATACAGTTATATTTAGACCTCACAATTAGAAACCTACCTTCAGCACCTGAAAGAGTTGTAAAATGAATAGACTTGTCTATGCTGTTTATGGGAATATTATAGTTAAATACATAAGGACATTATCACAAGCAAGTATCTAAAGAAGACAGTTTACAGTGATCCCTTCTCTGGTGAATGCCTAGGTCAGGTGACCTCGATCCCATTTGATAGAACATTAATTCCCTTACCTCTTTTAACATCTTTCACATAATGTTTTGTTGAAAAAAAAAAAGTCAATTTTAACTCAGCCTTTTCTGTGCAAACATACACAGGCGACAAACAAATTTGTTTATTTATATCTGGAACATTTACCTTTTTCTGGGTTATTTATAGCCTTGTATTCCTCACCAAACTAACAGAGTATATGCCTTCTGGGCCCTTAAAATTATACTTGGTTATGTCAGTAATTACAGAGGGATTTTATTTCTAGATTTTCAACTTGTTTTCAAATTACCTCCTTCTACACAATGTAGTTAGCTATTTTCATGTGTCTTTTCAGAATAGGGCTTAATAAAGTACTTCTCCTCCACTTTCCTGAAAATGTTCCTTGTGCCCACTAACTGGCAGAGAAAGCCATGAGCTAAAAGACAGGGTGAGGCCTTAAAGAAGCCCTTTCCCTGGACATGAACAGAATCCATCAGTCTCAGAATTAAAACTATTTCTCCCTAGTCCTGCCAGAAGTATAAAGAAAAGATGAGCAGTAGAATAAATGCAAGAGGAAAAGCAGCCCTGGGACTCAGCAGCATGTCACCGTGTCACCAAACAGGTCTCCAGCTTAGGAAGTGACATGTTTTTTATCAGGGGGAAAAAACTTGCCTCGCATGCACAAGGCCCTGGGTTTGTTCCCTGGCACCACAAATAAATAAGTAAATAAATAAGTAAATAATCTGTCCTTCTGCTAAGATTGTAGAGCACTTTCATTCAGTAGCCATAAAACTAAAGATTGTCTAAGTTGAGATTTTTAGAGCCCCTGGTACATTTTCGATCTCCTTGACGTGAACAAATCTCTTCCTAAATGTTTCCATTTGGTAGTGTTTGTTTTACCTTTGTCATGATCATTCTGTTTTGGTGTGCTGAAGTAATTTCACTCCAAACTTAAAGTAGTTTTGCTTAATAACAACAACAACAGAAAATGTTCTTAAAATGGGACGGACAGTGAGAGTTAAACTTTGGCATTGCAGATCCCGTGAAGCCACCTGGCAGCTCCCTGCAAGCACCAGCTGATTCACCTTTTGCTATAAATACGGCACCACCATCTGCCCAGGTGGATCCATCCTCCACAGCTCTACCTCCTTCCTATCAGCTAATCAGCCTTCCACCACACCCGGAAACTCTTGGCACCCAGGAGGATCCTCAAGACTACCTCTTGCTGATCAACTGTCAAAGCAAGAAGCCTGAACCCACCAGGTAAGTCGTTTGTGCCTCTGTGTGTGCGTGCGTGCGTGTGTGTGTGTGTGTGTGTGTGTACATTTAAAAATCTTACCTTTAAACGTTTCAACCTTGACTTGAAGGCTTGAAAGAAGCCATCTCCATAGGCTTACCTGGTAGCATTGTATTTCAGGCCTATATCCCTCCATTAATGATTTCTGATATTCAGGAGGTTTTATTGAAGAAATATAATATAAGCTGTCTGTGGCAGACACTTGTACTTCCAAGACTCTTGTGAAGACAGGCTACTATTTCAGTCTTTCTTAGAGACTTGAAGTATTACTTGCTTAACAGAGTTCACTGATTTGTAAATGGTGATCTTGCTCCATTTCTTATGTGATTATAAACCAGCCATGGGTCATCTTTTGTTTCTGAAGAAGGAGAGGAATACCTACTACTAGAAGATTTTGAAAGCAAAACGATTCCATTGCAGTGAGTGTGTTGTAGTTCTTTTGGTCTGTGTGAGCAATTATTCTTACAGGTAAAATCCCAATATGGCAGATTCTATGGAATTATAAAATTGGAGTTTAGAGAAATTTGATGATATTACATGTAATGCTTAAAGCAATGAAACTTTCAAATCTTTATACCAAACATTGAAGCAGCACTTAGCCCAAGCCTTGACCTGTCAAATTTCCAAGTAGAAAGAAGCATATGGATTGCGGTGCTTGACCACAGGGGCCATAAGTCCTTCCCCAATCCCTGGGTAGCCTGCCATCTCCCTCCCTCCTCCCACTCTTCTCTCCTCTTACAAGCTGTAAGGTAATTTTAATTTGATCATCCTTGACCTTTGATGTCGTGGTTGGAGGCTTAAAGTGACAGAGGGAGTTTGAGAGCAGTTGTTTTACTCTTTTAAAAGAAGCAAGAAAAGGATCTCTGCCATTAACAGCCATGTGACCATTAGTGACATCACCATCAAGTGGTATATTTATGAGCAGTATAAAAGTGGGGTGACTTGCATATTAGACTGGAAAGGTGTTTTTGAAACAGTTGTAGCATTCTACTGTCATGTGTAACTAATTAGAACAAATTTTAAAAATTAAATAAGCTGTAAGTTATTAAGTCTTATTGCTTTTATGACATAAAAAGCTTTCATTTAAAAAGCAATTATTAACAAAAATTTAAGTAGGGTTTGTTAAAATCCACATAATAGTTTCTGTGAACTATTTCCCAAGGCAACAGAAGCCTCTCACAAGCATTCCAAAGATGGTTTTTTGTATATTTGTTGTAATGGGATTTTACCTGTAAGAGCAAGAAAATTTTATAAATCAATACTAGTTAACAGTATCAAATTCTAACTGATTGTGCTTGTTTGCTGTGAGAATTTAAAATTACACACTTGCAACTTTGTTCCCTGTGCTACTAACGAAGATTTTACTTCTGGAAATTCACTGTTACTTTCCAATAGCACTTTTTAAAGCCAACAGCAAAATGACAGGTTTCAGAACATTTTTTTTTTCCTTATGTTAGTGTCTTTCATTGATTTCCCTGGTTTCAGAGTGTTTCTGTTGCAGTGTAAATTATGCTTCAAATTATGCTTTAAATCATCACCCAGATATATTTTGCCATCAGTATTTTGTATAAGTGACAGTAAGACACAGTCCCCTCAGATACAGTCGCCTTTGGAGTTTGTAAGTGAAGCTTATTAAGAAGTCCAAGAATAGAAGCATTAAGTGTTTATAGGTAAAAACTCATGTTCAGTGCCCCCAGCTCAGACAAGAGCTCCTCTAGGAAGTATTTTCCCCAAACTTGTAGGTTAGATTAAATGTCTTTCTTGAGTTTCTGTGCTCAAATGGTTTCCCCATATCTCTGTTTTATCATAGTATTGGAAATAGCTTGGTAGTTTTATTTTTCTCCACTAAACATTAAGTGACAGTAGGAAGTTTTGCTTACCACTAATTATACCCCTAACATCTCTTAGCTTCTCCATTCATGAAAATTCTAGATTATGCAAATTTTAGATTATGCATAGGTGCATTCAAAATTCCATCAAGGAATGGTCTAAGTGTTTCTAAGATGAAGAAAACAGTAAGAAATCTCTTCAGAAGAGTAGGGTTTGACCTGTACCTAGTTGGTGTGAGAAAAGGAGCATATCATTAGTAATTCATAAAAAAAAATTTCTTGGGGTAAAAGAGATGTGAGCACAGTAGAAAGAAGATGAAAGGAGAGCCTGCTTGGGAAGAGGTTGATTTGGGGAGGAAGAGGACGTGGAACATGGAGCCAAGTTACATTTGTGGCCTTATAGTTCCCACAGCCTGGAGGAACCTAATAGGTTTTCCACTGAGGATTTGAATAATATAAAAACTCTATTTTGAAAATATGTCTCATAGCAGTGTGGTCTGATGGATGGGTTGGAAGAGGGAGACACTAGGGGTTAGGCCACTTAGGAAGGTTCAGTACAGTAGATGTCACCAGAACTATATGAACCCAGAATTTACCAAGAATACACAAGTAGAAATGTCAGTTTGAAAATGTGGAACTCAGGATTTGGGGAGAATATGGGATTTGTCAGCATTTAGAGAAGAAAGTAAATGTATGAAAAACAGGGTTTTTCTAGCAGCATGTGTGGTGACTAAAGGCCTGGACTCTGTTGGCCATTCCCATCTGGAAAGGCACAGGGGGCGGGGCTAGTCACTGAAAAGAGGGCAATGATCAGGGAAGGAGAAGAAACATTGGGTTAGCACAGTATGGGTTCTCTGATACCCTGGGGTGAGAGTTCCAGTGGGCAAATATACTGTACAATGCCCGATGTTACTAAGCAATTAGGGAAGAGAAGCACTTTTTAAAAAATCTCAAGTTATTTAGAGAAAGAGTTTAAATTCCTGCAGGACTTTGGACAACATGTATGGGTAGTTCAGGTATCTTGTTTGTATGGTCAACTTCATCATGACTTAAACCAGTTTTGTGATACCTCAGAATACAGAGATGGAAAATGTACCCAAAGCAGAAATACTCTCAAATGAGAAATATCGAGGTTAATTATCATCTGGAGTTGGTGAACTCTACCTCATGTATTTTGATCCTCTCATAGAGTTAACTATAAGTTTATTAAAGGAAATTAGGATAAGGGAAGATATGGGAAACCCATTAAGTTGCCACCTCCTTATGGGTCTCGGTGGATTTCCTCAGTACCAGGCAATCATTTGGCGTTTAGTTCTGCAGAGTCACAGATTTGCCACAGGCACGTTCCAAAGCCGTGGATCAACTTGATGAACTGGACGGGCACCAGGTGTCTGCATGTTCTTGATAGGAAACTTCTCCTTGTCTCTGTGCCTTCTTCATTTTCCTTTCCCAGACACTCATAATATCTGTCTAATGCAGGGCTTTAGGGACTGTGGTTTTTTGTTTTGTTCCGTTTTGTTTTTGTGGTGCTGGGGATTGGACTCAGGGCCCTATGAATGTGAGGCAAGCACTCTACCAACTGAGCTATAGCCCCAGCCCAGGATTGTGGTTCTTATGTGTGAATTTCATAGGGAGACTTGGGGAAGCGGGCAGGTATAGGGAAGAAATTACTACGCTGCTGGTGGTTTGTGGTGGTGGTTTTGTTGTCTTGTAATCATACAAAAACTAAAGAACATTTGTGCTTTAAATCTCCAGATCACACAAAAACAATCTAATGGGGGATAAGAACAGATGTTTTGATTGCTAAGCTCTGAATATGTTTACCAAAACTGCGTTCTTATTCTTGACCATGTTATATTTTGTCATTAACACTTTTCATGTAGAACCCACGCCGATTCTGCAAAATCCACCTCTTCTGAAACAGACTGCAATGATAACGTCCCTTCTCATAAAAATCCTACTTCCTCCCAGAGCAAACATGGAGTGAATGGCTTTTTTCAGCAACAAATGATGTATGATTCTCCACCGTCACGTGCTATGTCTGTCTCTGTGGACTCCAGTCTTTACAACCTGCCCAGGAGTTACTCTCACGACGTTTTGCCAAAGGAGTCTCCATCGAGTACTGAAGCAGATGGAGAACTTTATGTTTTTAACACCCCACTGGGGACGTCCAGTGTAGAGACTCAAATGAGGCACGTTTCTATTAGTTATGACATTCCTCCAACACCTGGTAATACTTACCAGATTCCACGGACATTTCCAGAAGGAACCTTGGGACAGACATCCAAGCTAGACAATATTCCAGATATCCCTCCACCTCGGCCACCGAAACCACATCCAGCTCATGACCGATCTCCTGTGGAAACGTGCAACATCCCACGCACGGCCTCAGACACCGACAGTAGTTACTGTGTCCCTACCACAGGGGTGCCGCCGTCACGTAGTAATACCATTTCCACCGTGGATTTGAACAAATTGCGAAAAGGTCAGCTGTAGTTCGTTTTTACCCTATTAGAGGTTAATGACAGAAAATCTGTTTTTCCAACTAATTGTTCTTTTAAGTGTAGTATAGTGTGCAATGGTAGCCTGTTTTTTGCTTCAGCTCTGCAGAAAGAGCTGGTGTAGCCAAGATCTGAGAGTCTCAGTGGACCAGGGAAGGCTACGTGTGCAAGAGTGTGTGTGTGTGTGTGTGTGTGCACGCGCGCGCGCTCGTGTGCTCTGCTGGATGGGAGCAAGCTGGAGCTGCCCACTTGTGGAGAAGATGGCCCTCTTGATGCCTCTCCCGCTTTCCCTGCTCCTGGGTGCATAGGCTGTCTGCTAAAACAGGAGCAGGAAATGGACCAGCCCCGAAGCCTCTCCAGGCTTACTCTTTCCTGTGTTTGTGTGCCATTATGGTCACTTCTGTGTCACATCTGGGCTCTGTTTCCTTCCTTCCTCTATAAGCAGTTTTCATGTCGTGTCTAGCAGGTGATCATTCTGTTAAAATCAAGCCCTTGTGCATTTTGTTTCTTTGAGGTCTATCTGATTCCACAGTTCTGCACTCTCCTCTTATCACTGGTCACTACAGTTACTGCTTGTGACTATTACTTTTCTTACACCGTCTCAAAGAGCCTGCAGTCAGAAATTAGAGCCCTTAAACTGTTGGGGAAATGGGTCTGGGTTATTCTCTGAGATTCTTCAAGTCCGGAATATAGAAAGCCCAAGTTTTTAATGCACATACTCTTTAAAACGATGTAGTAAAATTTCACATTAGAGTTATTCTGGCTAGCTTAAAAAAGAAAGAGATTTAATGTATCCTAAGAAATATTTTGTCAGTACTTACTTCTCATTCAATACTAGTTTCTAAATCTCTTCTTCATGCATTTGGGTAGCCTAGTTTTAAGTTAGTGAGATAGAAGTTAGGCCAAAGGTTCAATCTCATAATCAGATGTGGGTATTGTTTGTCATATAAGTATGTGTCTGCATTTTCTGGTGGTTTTGTGTGCCAGTGTGAGGTAACATTCTGTGAGCATCCCTCTAAATCAGGGTGTGCAGAGAAAGAAAGAGAATAGATCATTCCTGATTGCCCTGAGCAAGGCAAAGATGGAAAATGCTGATATAGTTTGTTCTTTATTCTAGATGCTAGTTCTCAAGACTGCTATGATATTCCACGAACATTTCCCAGCGATAGATCTAGTTCACTTGAAGGCTTCCATAACCACTTCGTAAGTATACATGACCTTAGCATTGTTGAGTGTATTTCATTGTCAGAATCTTCCCACTAAGTACCTCGAGACTCATTGAGATCACAAAATGAAAGTACCTTCAGATTCACTGAATGGATGTGACAGTTGTATCTTCATGTTTGACAATGGTTATTGTTTATTAAAAGAAATGTATGTGTGTTTTAGAAAATCAAAAATGTATTGACAGTGGGAAGTGTTTCAAATGATGAACTGAACGAAAACTACGTCCCAATGAATCCCAACTCGCCTCCACGACAGCATTCCAGCAGTTTCACAGAACCCATTCAGGAAGCCAATTACGTGCCAATGACTCCGGGGACATTTGATTTTTCTTCATTTGGAATGCAAGTGCCTCCTCCTGCTCATATGGGCTTCAGGTCCAGCCCAAAGACCCCTCCCAGAAGGCCAGTTCCTGTTGCAGACTGTGAGCCACCCCCAGTGGATAGGAACCTCAAGCCCGACAGAAAAGGTAAGAGGAACATGCCAAGTGAGAGGATTGGGGAGTGTGCTAAGTTAGAGCTGAAGTTAGCGTCCTGGAATATTTCCTCTACCTTGGACATCAGTTTAGCAAAGCAGTACTGCTATTTATAGATTAGCAACTTGCACTGATGCCCAGGTGAGATTTGTAAATCTCTTATCCCTAGGTCAAGATTACAAACTTATTAAAATACCCAAAGGAATACCCAGGCAACAGGGGAGAATTAGGAGAAACTGGAATGCCCTGCCCCATCTATATGGGGTTATGACTTGACCCCTACTTGGCTGCAATCTTTTTTTTTTTTTTTTCATGTTATACATTTAATGGGAGGAAATAAAATGTTATATAAATAGTCTGATACATAAAATGTTATTTTTTAGATCATACATTTTAAATCTCTACATGTTCTTGTGATGCTTCCTAAAGTAGCTTTTAACTGGATTTATTAGTAGATCCTGGGGCGGGAAGCTGTAACTGATTCAGATTCAGGTCAAGTTGGCAACATCTTTTCTAGCTTTGAGGGTGTCTGCCATCCCCCCTGTGGATCTCCTGGCAACTGCAGGTGATAAAGTGACAGATGCTATGGCAGAGACTTGTGAGCCATCTGAGCAGATGAGAGGGAGCCTAGAGACTGGTCCCAAGATGGCCTGAAATCCTTTTTTGACTTCTGAAGCTGTGGGCTCATACCAGCAAATCTCCTGGTGTAACAAGAGAACCCAGAAATCTAGGATTTTGTGTGTATTATCTCTTGATGATACAGAGATTATCAGACCAAACCCAACACTTCTACAAGGTATATATGGCCTTTAATTGCTACTTGGTGTAACCTCTTCTTCAGAGAGTACACAATCAAATCAGATTTAGGATTATTTACAACACTTGACATAATTACAGCTTTCTATCTACCCATGCAACAACTTTTTAAAAATTAGTTTGCCTTGGCTGGGGAATAAATAAATGCTTCTAAATCTACTTTTTACTGGATGTCGTAAGTAACATTAAATTCTGTAGCATAGTTCATTAAAAGTTCTCAGTAAAAGAAACTTTTTAGCCAAGTTGGGTTTTACTCAGGTTTTCAAAATTTATGTGTAAGTCATTTAAACACAAACAACCTGCTTCTGTTGCAGCATGCTGTTGGTGTGACTTAATCTTGACAGCCAAATAAATTAGCATCCATGTGATGAGTGATACAGCTTCTGGCTTAGTGCAGGGGTTGTCAGCACATTGAAAAGCCTCCTGTGCTAAATGCAATTTTTAAAGAATATGTAATGTTTGTGTATATTTCTCATTAACTAGATTATTCGTACTAGTTTTAATTAAGTTCCAGTTGAGGGGACCAGTGAGTAGCAATCAAACTAGCTTAAGAAAAATGTTTTGGTTTGATTTTAAAGTAGGGGTGTAACCATGCTGGAAAAAGGCTCTAAGGGGAAACTGAGACCATCCCGTGTCCTGCTCTCCCTGCGCTCGGGCTCCTTGGAAATCTTGGCCTCTGCTTTGTTCTCTCTAGCATTCTCCCCTTCCTTTCTTAACTCTTAACTCTTGATCCTCCACCGGAAGAGAGGTGTGCTTTCAGAAAGCTTTTGCCTGGAGCGCCCCCTGTGGCCTCTGTTCTGCCCCCTGGCTTCTTCTCAGGAGCACTTGCAGCACCCACTTCAGCTTCCAATTGCCTCCTTTGTTATTTAGTCCCTTTGGATTGCTTAGACATGATGGGGTTGCTCTAATATGACTATATATAAATGTGTAGCCCTCCAGACTTGAAGTTAAAATACCTCTTATTCCTGACTTTATCATGTGAGTGCACTGTAACTAGGAAGGAAGACTGAAATTCTGAAAAATGCACCAACTCTAATTAATGGAGGCTGATTCCCATGGTAACTGTCGTGATCCCACTAATTTGACTTTTCACACTAGGCCACGTGATAGATTAAGGTCAGCCCACAGATTGACTGCTGATGGCTCAGGTGTCCACCTGGGGACCCTGAGCTGTGAAGAAAGAGGTTAGGGTGTGAGTGTCAGGGGGTTTTATTCAGTAATATTTGCTTCTGTTTCTCTCAGTCTTCAGTTGTCTCTAATTCTTATTGTAGACCTTAGTCAGATTCTTCTTTGCAGACAGTATACAAAAAGCGTTTCTAGACATGGATGAATTTATAGTACATTTGTAGATCTTGGAAGGATTGAGATACAAGCACCATGACCTCTGAAATATTGAAATGTCTTTTTAAATGTTAACCTGGGCTTTCCGCGTTTACCTTGGTTCATGATGGCAGCAGCGCTCTTCGTTCAACCCCAGATTTTTATCTTGAGGTCCCATGTAATGTGGAGGTGGTTCGGTTTGGGGAAGGGTACAAGGGCTCTATGTCTGATTTAGCCTGTGTTTCCCATATTATTTCATAAGTGTCCACTTTATGCTTCACAATTGTGTCTCCTGGTGAATGCAGTGAAAGTACCATGCACTGTAGTACATGAGGGTTCAGTTGTCCTAGTCCTTCCAATCAAAGGTTCTCTGTCACTTGTTGAGATTGTGTTCATTTTTTAAAAAAATTAGCAGGGAGAGAAAAAGGCCTGCTGGTGTAGCTCAGTGTTAGAGCGCTTGCCTAGCATCTGCAAGACCCTGGGTTCCATCCCCAGCATCATAAAAATTAACTGATCTAGTAATTTAATTAAAATTATCTGAACCATTCAGAGTCCACCCTGAACTCACTGGTCGGATTATTTGTTTGATATATTTGCTTAGTTACAAAATGAACTGATAAAGTGTGCCCAGATTAAAACACCCATATAGTTTTTAGCAAAACCAGGAGCTGTTTTAGTTAAATAGTAAAGAGGTAACTCAAATCATACTATTAATTTTTTTTTTCTTTTCCTTAATACCTTTATACTTTGAAATAAATATAATACAAGAAAGGAGGCATGAGAAAATACTTAATGTGACAGGGAAAGCTTTGTAAAGTTATAACCATTAAGGAAAACATTGTTGAAACCCAAGTTCAGATCTCAGAGCCAAGTTTATCCTTGAATCAAAACTGTAAAACCAACTGTCTTACTTGGTTGTGAAATCCTTCTCATTATTCCTTAGCATCAGATGAGTGTTTTAATTTCAAATTCTGTGACATCAGATAAATGACTTAATCTGTTTTCCAGTATCTCTTTTTAAGTGAAACTCATAAGAAAACCTTTCTGTGAAATATGGCTCAATTAGTTTTGGAGCCCCATAATACTAGTTCGACACCTAGGATAACTGAGTTTTGTGATTTTTCTTCTTAGAAAGGGCCTACAGCAAATGAGTGACATTCTGGTCTTGTTTACTAGCCCAGTTTTAGACATCAGCTGCTGTAGTTTGGAGTACGTATGAGTTTTTCAAATACTTCTGAGTAACTGAAACTGCAGAAATACATAGAGGGCTGATATCTGAACCCTTATCAGGTTCCTTATCAGGAACCCTTGGCTGTCATCCAGTGCATGGTAGCTACATTTTCATCAGACTCTTTCTGTAACTATAGTATTTACTGTGTACCAAACATTACATATATTAATAGAAGAGTAACATGTTTAGCATATTGTGTAAAATGCTGGGAAAGCAGATACATCACAAAGACAGGACAGATGGTTTTGACTACTTCAACTCAAAGTTTTATTTTTCTACTGGAAAAGTAATTTTGTAAAGTTTGGAAATTTTTTGTAAGATTACCTATCATGTTTTCTCAAACGAAGTCATTATATAGATGTACCATATTTAATCCCTAAATGTACCCATGCCCCATCACCCTCATCCTGCCTCTAACACGATACAGCAGCTATCTGAACACCAAATGCAGTCTTCATATTTTATTCAATTTTGTCCATTTGTGCTGCTCTGTAGTAGCTTAGAACATTAGTTATGGTATTGATTTTTAAAAGCAGTGCAGGATTTCTTATGGTATTTTTGTACCTGTTTTGGTTAAAGTATGTTCAGGTCTGCGACCTTACCTTGGTAAAGGAAGTGTCCAGAAGACTAATCCCAGGGAGCTCCTACCCTCCATGCGTCTGTTTTTGGAATAGTGATATATTTAGACTTTTTTTTTTCTCCAAGAGATCACCTAAAGAAGTTTTCAACTGTGATTAAAACATAACGTGCTTTAAAAAAAATAAAAAAAGATAAGACTACATTTTTACAATACTCAGCACAGGGGCTGCTGATTAGAATAAGCAGCATCCTCCAATTTTTCCTCAGAGGGGAGATGAGACTGGCTCAGATATTTGGAGGGTGAATGAATGATACGAGTAAATATCTTGATAAATAGGTGTTAAAGTTTGTGCTTTGAGTTAAACTTGTTGCAGTTTATAGGAAGTAAGTATGGAGCTCCTTTTTACTCCATACTTATTATCATGTGGGGTTTTTCCTAAGTATTCTTGGCCTACAAGTATGATTACCATCATTACATCATTATACTCATCTTTATACAGCAAGACCATTACAACAAGTATAAACATTTTTCAGAACTCTGCCTTGACTTTTTAGAATACGCAGAGGAGGGGCTGGAGTTGTAGCGCTTGCCTAGCATGTGGGAGGCACTGGGTTCAATTCTCAGCACTGCATAGAAATAAGTAAAATAAAGGTCCATCAACAACTAAAAATGTTTTTTAAAAATAGAATTAGCAGAGGATAATAATCTTGTGAATTACTCTTCTTTTGATTTTGAAGCTGCCCCCTGAAAATAGTAGCATCATCTATAAAGCTTTTGGATAAATAAATACTGTAGGTTATGTCAGACCTGTAATAATACAGAAGGTAAATAAAATGTCCACATTGAGTTCAATGTCTGTGAGCATTACCTACAAGGACACCTGGTGTGTGCACTTTTCAGAGAAGATTGCATCTACTCAATTGAAATGTGGACTCTCATGACAGCCTTGACCATATTGGAGATGACCCACTTCTGAAATACATTCAGTTGTTACCTTTTCACTTTTAAAGGACAAGCAAAATGTGAGATGGATCAGTGAAACTCCAC